ATAAAGCTTTGTCTCACATACTTCAGGCATGTTGCTCAGAGAGGCTATTCCTTGGAAAAGGGATATCATGCTAGGAAAGGTGGAAGGTTAGTGAAAGAGAGGAAGACCCTCAACCAGGTGGACTAACACAGTGACTGTCGGAGTGGATCTAGTATGTCAGAGATAATAAAGATGGCCCAGGATAGGACAGGATTCAGAGCTGTTGTTCTGAATCCTGGGTCACTATGAATAGGATCACTATGGGTTGTACTCAACTCGACAGCAACTAACAACAACAACCAGTCTCATTCCATTTTCTGCCTTTCCCTCCATCCCTCTTGTCTAATAATATTGACACTTTGCTGTTCCTTGAACACGACCAGCTTTTCTTACTGAAGGGTTTTATTCTTGCAGCTACTTTGACTGGAATGCTATAGTAGAGACATTAATGTGACTGGCTTTTGCTTTAGTTTCAATTCTCTGCTCAAAGGTTGCCTCCTCAGGAAAAAAAGAAAAAAATTTCCTGGCTGCCACATCTAAAGAAGCATTGCTCCAGTTACTTTTCTCCCAACATCACATTTTGCCTCTTAACATTCTCGTATTTTATTGGTTCAAATGTATTTTGACCTAATGGCTAGAATGCCTTTAAATAATAACTTCTGGGGGAGGGAATGATTAATCTTAATATAGCTGCCTTCTTTATCTACTTGTCTTAGCTCTTTCAAATGGTATTTGAATTTGAAAGCGTTGAGGAAGCTTAGCTCCGTGGATTAATTTGGTGTCCCTGTACTGTTCTCTGATTTCTCTTGATATTTAGCAAGCTTTAATGTGTTGGATTTGAGTGTGGTATTTCCTTTAAGCTAAGTTGCTCAGAGCCTGGAGGCAAATCAGTGTTGTTCTTAGCTCTACCTGTTACTACCACTGAGTTCCATGTCCAGTGTGATTTACAGTGCTACTTTGCCTTACACCTGCAAACTGCTACGCTTGATTACTTTCATTACTCTTGAGTACTTTCATAGGTTAGGAACTTCTTGGATACATTCTATATCACATGGTGAAGAGTAGGGAGTTCCTTATTTGCAGTTCTTTCTAAATCTTGAACTAATTTTGTCATATTCTATTTAGTGTTCTTTTCCTTAAACAGTCTGCTCATCCTTTCCCCCACTATATAACTTTCAAGTCCAACAAAACTTGTGTACACTCCTGCCTAAACCATACTCTGATGATCTAAATCCAGGCCTTCTCTTCTCTACCAACTACCCAGCTTATAATTTTTTTTCTGAGATAAAGATATTGACTGTTGGTGTGGGCACCACTGGACTGTCATCTTCTACTTGTAGTCTCAAACTGCTGCAGAGTAAGAATTCCGCTTTCAAAATAAGAGTTGATGATCTGTTTCACCTGGTATCACTCCTCTCAGCTCTCCCTTCCTGCTTCCCTCTATTTTTAAATTATGAGTATCAGGCTTTTCTTTTCTTTCTCTATGCCACAGCTTTTTCAGTTGTCACTGATAAGTGAATCTCCTTTGAAGAATGAGAGACATCTAGGAGATCTATGTGCTGAATTCCATAATTTAAATTCTGGGACCATGGAAATTTAGCAAATTCTTTTTATCTCTACTAAGCTATTCTAGGGGGCTCTGGTTATTTAATCTGTAGTGAGTTGTGCTGTTAACCCAAAAGATGCTTGTTTCTAGCAGTTAAAATTCACAAGATGCTCTGAAGTGTAAAGATGAACAGTCTCCTCCCCTTAAAATTTATAACTTTGGAAACCTGATAGACAGTTTCTATGCATTGAAACTAATTTAATGGAAGTAAATGAAATGTTTTCTATTCTTTCCTGTCCAGGGAATAATCTTATGGCTACACTTTATAGTTTCAGTTTTCTCTCCATCCATCATGACGCTGCCTATCGGTTCAGTGGTAAGAAAATTTGTTTTCTTGACATTGAAATGCATGAATAAATATGACAGGAAAAGAATTGATGCCTTTGAGCTGTGGTGTTGGAGAGAATGAACAGATATGTCTTGGAGAGGGTGCAGACAAAGTGCTCTTTGGAGGCAAGGATGAAGTTTCACCTTATATACTTTGGACATGTTGCCAGGAGGTGCTATTCCTTGGAGAAGGACATAATGCTGGGAAGGGTGGGCAGTTGGCAAAGGAGAAGAAGACCTTCCACCAGGTGGATTGACACGGTGACTGCTACAATGGGCTCTTCTGTGTTAGGAAGTGTGAGGATGGCACAGGTTAGAGCAGGGTTCAGATCTTTTGTTCATAGGGTCGCTGAGTCGTACCCGACTCAATGGCACCTAACAACATGAACACTTTACAGATGTGGCACTGGAGAAGAGTCTTGAAAATACCATGGACCATCAAGAGAACATACAGGTCTGTCTTAGAGAGGGTGAAACCATGTTCTTCATTGGAGGCTTGGATTTTGAAGCTCCATCTGACATACGTTGGGCACATGGCCAGGAGGGACCAGTCCTTGGAGAAGGACTTCATGATACAGTAACTGGGGTAATGGGGTAGAAGTGCTGGATTCAGGGAGACTGGCTCAGGACAGGGCAGGCTTCAGAGATGTTATTATATATATGCAGGGTTTCCAGAAGTCACAGGTGACTTGACAGCACATAACAACAATGCTTTACACAAGACTCTATACTGAAACATGAAGTAAAGAAGAAAATTCAAGTGAATCAACTTGATAATTGCAAAACATTTCCTCCTTTATTATAGTTTTTCTTGAGAAGCTAGATGTGAAATGCTCCATTTTAAATGTTGGTATTTAATCCCAAAAATTGAAAAATGATAGGAAAAGTAAATATTTACATGGTTCTAGGAAATAAACAGTATTATCAATGTTAAAATTATTAACTAATCATACAAGTCATCCATGTTCTAGATAAGGCAAATGAATTATAGATATTTAGTAAGATTGTATAGTTAGTTATGGTACCAGCCAAAGATTTGATCTTAAAACCATTGCCTTGTAAATTCTATTTTATAATATAGTCAAATAAGCCAGAGAGAGAAAAAAATAAGCCAGAGGAAATAGATTTTTAATTAAGACTTGCTTATCTGTTGAATGATCTTGGATTAGACACATAACCTCCATGAACCCCTCTGTGAAATTAGGATGATTAAATCCCAATTTACTAAATTCACAATGGCTTTCTCTATCACTTTTATGTATGTAGCTAATTGTACTAAACAGTCATGATATGCTTACATATTACCTGCAATGTGCAACCTAGTGGTACAAACATTTCTAGAAATAGCTTGAATTAGGACAAAATCCTTGTGAAAGGGTCAAATTGCTAGTCCTAGACTTCATGTTACTGTTATTTCTTTGTTCGATTTCAAGTAAACCCCATATTCTCTCTGTGTTTTACTGGCTGCATCTTTAAAGTATGGAGTTGAAATAATAGTTTTGTAAATCTGTCCTGAGAAACCCAATAATTATCTCATGATGAGAACAAGCTTGAAAGAAAAAAAAAAATCAAGGATGAGTAGGCTGGTGGGTTCCCCATTCTTATCTCAGACTTACAGCAGCCCTATTTTTAGTTGTCAGATATTATTAGAGCTCTGCAGCTAATAAAACAGATGGAACCCACTAGACCTTTCATGTACTCACATTCCCTGAAATGTTTCTTTGATTTCTTGAGTTTTTTTCATTTTCCTCTTCTCATGGACATAGAACTGAGAGATGTGACATATTTTGATTATGATTTAAATGAACACATTTCTTTGTTCTTCTTTCTCTTCCCTAGAACTTAAAGAACAGGTCTAAGAACTAGCATGAAATGTCTAATCAATTAATAAGAGTTTTTAATAAAATGTCATAGAATAACTATAAAACAAAACAAAACACCTCAAGCTCTTTCAATTGACGGCATATAACATCTAGAAATCATCATATATCATTAAGAGAATGATCATATTGTTTTATTTTTTAGAATTAATTTTTAAGTTAATGTGTACAAAGCATATTGAGAACTGTCAATTTTTTAAAAGATAATGGAACTTTCCATTTTAATCTTCTAGGGATTGTAGAATTGATCTCTGATCTTGAATATAGCTTTGGTGCACTGAAAACTCAGAATGATGGCTCAAATTTGGACTTAAATTCCACGCCAACTACGAAGCACCTTGTGGCCAAATTACTGTCATGACTATGCTGAAGTTTCTTTTCCCTTTGCAAGCAATGACGTAGATGATTTCTAAGATTCTTCCCCAATTTGTAGGTTCTTAAGATATCCATGAGGTAATGATCTCCAGTTGTTGGTTCAGTCTTCAAAAGGATTTGATTTTGAGGCTAGGCTGTAGGTACTGATCTTCAATAGTCTACCCTCTTTGCTGTCTAAAGGCAGAATGGTTGGGTCTTCTTGAGATTACAAATTTGTTCTTTCCATTAGTTGGAGGTTCATGATGAAGGGTCCACTGAGAATTTAGGTTCACCATGTTTTCCCTTTCCAATGGTATCTCAGTGGTCAGGTGTAAGACACTAAAATGGACCTTCCCATTGACATTTTACCCAAATATCCAGAAAACCCTTTCACTACTTCCTCCCATGACTGCGTCATGGTCCCTTTAAGGCAGCGGCCATAGTTGAGTGGTGGGAGCAGCAGCTAGCAACCAAGAGATTCGCAGGATTTGGCCTACCCTGGGCCACTCACCGCGCAAGCTCAAGACGGTAGGCTTGGTGGGAAAGGAGGGAGGGGCTTAAGGTACGCCTGCGCACGAGGGGCGCGCGCAAGGGGCTGGTTTGGTGATCTCTTTTAAGAACCCGCAGGCGGAGGAATTTCTCTGAGAGAAAATAATCCTACTCACGGGGCCCCTTGGAGGCCATTAACCCCCCGAGTCCCGGCCCCCCCCTTCCCCGGGCAGGCCCTACTGCCCACGCGCGCACCCTGGGGAGCCCAAGATCTCCGACCTGGAGCGCGGTATCCGCCCCCTCCCCATTCTTAGCCTACGGCCCAGCCAGGTCCTGGGAGGCTGCTTCGAGGCGGTCGTGCCTGCAGTGTGGGCGGGGGTCGGGGGCCTGAGAGGTGCCACCGCCACCGCGCCGGGAGCTGCAGCGGTTTTGAGCGGGGCCCAACATGGCGGAGAGAGAGGTGGAGTCTGCCCCCCGAAAGAGGGTAGGTGAGGTGAGGCAGAACTCAGGCGGCGGGGGGCGGGGCAGGGGCCGCGGTCGGAGACCGGGGCTGCGACCGGGAGTGGGCTATCCAGCCTCTGGCTCCTGGAGAGGCCCGGTTGGGGAAAGGAAGGTCTGAGGCAATCTTTGGTCTGGAGTGCGCCGGCCAATGGCCCTTCGGCAGGTGGGACAAAGATTTGTTGATGGTTGAAGGAAGGGGTGAGGGAGCTGCTGTTTCCCCCATCACCAGTTTTGGGGTGATATCTGGGCCACAGCAGCAAAGGGTCAGAATCCTAAGCACATCCTTAGTAAATCAGAGTCTCTCAAAGTTTTAACTGGGAGAGGTAATGTGAAGGGGGTGGGGCGGGAGTAAGTCGGGGAGGGTCTTGGGAGAGAAAGGCAAGAGGGTTTGTTTCCCAGTAAAAACGGTCACAACTAATTTTCTTTCCCCTCCCCTCAACGTTATCAAGACCAAGGTGGAGGCAGTTCTCTTACCTGCGAAGGGGGCATGTCCTGATTTAGGAGAAAGATTTTGGAACTATGAATGTCATATTCGAGTCTAGCCTTTTAACTCGCAATTGGGAACATGGAAAACACGTAGAATCTTAGTCATAGCAAGTATTGAATATACCTAACCAACCTGCGGAGGTGAAGCCAGTTCTACTTAAGAGTTGTTGAGTGCCTTTCAAGTTTGTCTTGAAACTTTTCTTACCTAATTCCGAGCGATTTTCTCAGATAAAAAGCAAAACTGTCAGTTGAGCATTATATACATCTTTCATGTGCTCTGGTGGCATAGTTCACTGAGAGCCGCACTGCTAGCGGAAAGGCCACGCCTCTCTGGGGGTTCGAATCCGCCAGCTGCTGTGAGAGAAAGATGGACAATCTCCTCCCAAGCCATTTACATTCAAAAATTGCTGGAGGGTCAGCTATGAATCACTTCCGACTAGAAAGCAATGTGTTTTTAACTTATATATTTTTAATATTTTCATTTATATCCCTCTCTCCTACTCCCCAGTAGCATGTTAAACATTTACCAGGAATCTTCCTAAAAGGGATTGTCCTCAAATAATCAAATTCATGTTAATACACCTGTATAAAGTATTGCTAATTCTTTACTGAGGATACTTGTTCAATTCGGTGATTTTATGATGATATTACACTAACATTTTGAGTGTTTACTATATACAAGGCATTATCCTAATAATTAATAGGTATGTTTTGTGAAGTATTGAACCTCACATCAACTCTGTAAAACCCATTTTTCAGATGATATAGGCTTAAAGGAGGTTAAGCAGTGTGCTCAACATCAGAGAAGAGCCTGAGTAGGAGTTTGAATACAGTTATATATTCCAGCCATACTGTGTGTGTTGAATGGCATAGAGAGATTTGCGTATGCATCTCTCTTAAATATGTTTGCTTATATTGTTTTGTATACAAGTTAAGTCTATACAAGTTAGAAAAAATATTTTAGCTATACAACAAAGTTGGAAAAATTTGACAGGAAACCATCCGCATATATGCACCACCTAGATCCCAACATTTACCTTTTCCTATTATGTACTTCACCTATCCATCCCTCCAGGGAGCTCTGGTGGCAGTAGTCTATAGCAAGTTGTGCTGCTTACACAAAGGATGTGCTGCTTCTGATCATTCAAATCCACCAGTAACTCCAAAGGAGAAAGATGTACAGTCTCCTCCTAAGTTGGTTACAGTTCATATTGACCCAGTGAACAGATCTGAACCTTACCCTTGTTGTTACCCTTTGAGTTGAGCATGACTCATAGCGACCCTATGAACAAAAGGCTTGAAGCCCCTCTGCAACTTTCAACATTTATCAAAGTTATAGTCACTGAGCCAGCTTATCTCATTGAGGTTCTTTCTGTTGACCCTTTACCTTTCCCAGCATGATGTCTTTTTCCAAGACAACATGCCCAAAAGTGTGTGAGACAGAATTTGTCTTTGCCTCTAAGGGGCACTCTGCTTGCACTTTCCCCTAGACATATCTGTGTTCTTTTGGCAGTCCATAGGATATTCAGTACTCTTATCCAGCACAGCAATTCAAAGGCATCGTTTCTTCTTTGATCAAATTTATTCGTTATCCAACTTTGACATGCTTAGGAAGCAATTGAAAATAGTATGACTTGAATCAGGCACATCGTATTCTTGAAAACAACATTGTTAACAACCTCAGAAACCCAAAAGAGGGTCAGTTAGAGTTGGAATTGATTCAATGAGGATGAATTTGAGTTTGAACTATCTTTAGATCCTCTCATCTCATCAATAATTGTATTTTAATACACATTGCAATACTTTGAACACTTAACAGTTTGTGTTGATAATTTTATTTTTTTTGTGTGTGTTGATAATTTTAGGTACACATAATTTTAGACTCATAATAATTAGTATGCTATTTTATATATATATCTCTCTCTGTCTGCCTATCTATCTATCATCTATCTATCTCCCTTGTATTTAAAAGTCGATTGGGCCCAAGGGCCTAATGTTATAATATTTTGGAGAAACTTTTCTCTAAGTTGTATAGCGTTCTGCCAATTTGCTGTAGGAGGTAATCCGGGTTTGCTGTGATGCTGAACCTTGTGCGATTGAAGGAGTCAAATGTGATTACAGCTGTCCACGGTGGACAGTGTTTGGTGGAACTCCTAGTTTAAGACAGATTTGGAAGCAGGAGTGGCAACCACTTCCTAAACCGCATACCTCTGGAAACTCTGTGTACTTGGAAAAATGATAGTTATAGGTCTTTTGTTCATGGGGTCGCTGTGAGTTGTGCTCGACTTGACGACAGTCAACGACAACAACAACGATAGACAAAGAAGAGATTGTTAACAGCTTCAGCTTGCTTGGTTCCACAAACAACACTGTTGGTACCAGTTAGTCAGGAAATCAAAGATGAATTGCATTGGGAAAGTCTACTTTCAGGGACCTCCTCCAGAGTACTGAGGAGCAATCATGTCATTTTAAAGACTATCATGTCATTCTAGAGACTAAGGTGCATCTGATCCAAGCCATGGTCTTCATAGTTACTTGCTGTGCATTTGGACACTAAGAATCAATGCCTTTGAGTTGTGGTTCTGCAGAAGAGTAGTGAACATACCATGGACTGCCAAGAAAACAAATCTGTTCTGGAGAGGGTGAAACCATGCTGCTCCTTGGAAGTAAGGATTTTGATGCTCTGTGTGACATTCTTTGGGTGTATTGCCAAGAGGGGACCAGTCCTTGGAGAAGGACAACATGCTTGGGAAGGTGGAGGGACAGCACAAGAGAGGAAGATCCTAGATGAGATGGATTGACATAGTAACTGGGGTAATGGAGATAGATGTGTCAGACACAATGAGATTGGCTCAGGATAGAGCAGAGTTCAGAGCTATTGTACATAGGGTCACTGTGAGTCACAGCAACTTGATAGCACATACCAACAAGTCCAATATATGATAGTATGCCTAACTAGTTCATTTGGGGTAAACATTAGATATGGAATACATGGAGTTATTTTTAAATTACAGATGATTCTTCAGGCTGAATAAGTTTTAAACTAGATTCTTATTTTATTTGATAATTTAGTGTGTGATAATATTACATGTTAGACTACTAACTGAAAAGTGAACAGTTCAAATCTATCAGTCATTCTGAGGAAGAAGGATGACAGGCTCTTCCATGAAGATTTATAGCCTTGGAAACCTGATGGCAGGTCACCATGAATTAGTGTCTATTTGATGCCAGGGGTTTTTCACAATTGAAAAGTATAGTAAGTTGCTTTGAATATGTAATATTTATTTCAGGAGACCTCTACATCTAATGGATACTAATGCCGTTTTCTTATATATATGCAGAATATTCTAGAATGTTCTGGAACTTATCTATGTACTTTGGTGGCAAATTTGACCAGATTTAAAATACAGTATTCTTTCTTTGTTATGAAACACTCTGAGTATTACATTGTGTGATAATACAGCTCACTCACAAGTCAATGGTTAGAAGCCAATAATGCTCCAAGGGAGAAGGAAACGTAATCTCTTCTGGTGTGTTTGTAGCCTGATAGAGGGTAATGAGTTGGAATTAAGTTGATATAAATTGGGGAAATAACTGACATCAGTGGGGTTTTTTTGGTTCTCTGTAATACTCTTAAAAAGTACCACCATGGAAGAAGTTTTTTAACAAGTAGCATGTACTTGCATAAGCATTCTCTATTACTTCACCCATTTCAAGGAAGAGTGATTCAGTGTCTTCCGTGCTTTTTGTTTTTTGCTGTTTGGTTAAAATGTTCAGAAGATTTGTTTTCAATAATTCAAGTGCTCGTCACTCTTTTATGTATGTCTGATTATATAAATTATTTCTTTCAGGCAGGTTAGTAGGGACTGGATTTTGCTGTACAATTTCTTTTTGAGTAATTTGTTTGCCCTGAGGCTGTTAGAACAGACTACACAGACCTAGATAATAACTTTAGGTAGGTTATTCTGAAATTACACTGATGATTTGGTTTTTTATTTTCGATGGTTACAGTCTTTGACCTTTAAGTTAAAAAAAGTTGTTGAGTCTGTACTATTTGATGAGCTATGTCCTAGGCATTGTGCTTCTAGAGTATTTATCATCTTTTAGGAACTCTGACTTTCTGCTAATTTGTTTACATTAGAATAAGGCCCATTTTATTGTTTTTAGCACCCACAACATCCGTCACTTATACTAGAATTAAGACTTGTTGATTGTGGTATGAAAAGTTAGTTTATTAAAGAGGCTTGATTACCAACTTAATTGCTTTAAGTTTGATGATGTGTGGAAATCTTTCACAGTACCTTTTATATCGAGAAGTTTCTCTTATGGAAAAAAAATGTTGCAAGTTTCTTATGGCTCTGGATTATGATTGGTTCAGGAGGTGACTGCATTTGAAAGCTAGGGACTTTATCTGTCTTAAATTTGGTATCTACCTGGTATCCTGTTTTTCTTGCTTTTAGGCAGAACAGTTGTTAGGTGCCATCAAATTTACTACAA